AGCTCCTGGCTATTATAAATAAGGCTGCTATGAACATAGTTGAGCATATGTCCTTGTTATATGTTCGAGCATCTTCTGGTATATGCCTAGGAGTGGTATAGCTGGATCCTCAGGTAATGCTATGTCCAATTTTCTGAGGAACCGCCACACTGATTTCCAAGTGGTTGCACCATCTTGCAGTCCCACCAACAATGGAGGAGTGTTCCTCTTTCTCTACACCCTCGCCAGCATCTACTACCACCTGAGTTTTTAATCTTAGCCATTCTGACTGGTGTGAGATGGAATCTCAGAGTTGTTTTGATTTGCATTTCCCTGATGACTAAGGATACTGAACATTTCTTTAGGTGCTTCTCGGCCATTCGAGTTTCCTCCGTTGAAAATTCTTTGTTAAGCTCTATACCCCATTTTTTAAATAGGGTTATTTGGTTGTCTGGAGTCTAATTTCTTGAGTTCTTTGTATATATTGGATATTAGCCCTCTATCAGATGAAGGATTGGTAAAGATCTTCTCCCAATTTGTTGGTTGTCATTTTGTCCTATTGACAGTGTCCTTTGCCTTACAGAAGTTTTGCAATTTTATGAAGTCCCATTTGTCAATTCTTGATCTTAGAGCATATGCCACTGGTGTTCTGTTCAGGAGCTTTTCCCCTGTGCCCATGTATTCGAGACTCTTCCCCAACTTCTCTTCTATTAGTTTCAGTGTATCTGGTTTTATGAGGAGGTCCTTTATCCACTTAGACTTGAGCTTTGTACAAGGAGATAAGAATGGATCAATTTTCATTCTTCTACATGTTGAGAATTATTTTGAATTATCAAGGAGACTCTGAGTGTTCATCTTTGTCTATTCAAGGTTTTCTTTCATTCAAGAGGAAATGGCCCAGCCTCTCCCTTTTAGTATAAATAATGCTAACTATATGTTGTCATATACAACCCTCATTATGTTGAGTTGCTATCAGTCTATTCAAAGCTTTTTGGGACATTTATCATGAAGCCATGTTGGACTTTTCCAAATGTCTTTTCTGACACTGTTAAGATGATCATGCCTTTTCTGGTCTTTAACTACAATTGATACTGTGCACCACCTATAATGGTTTTTATGTTGAATCAACCTTGCATCCCTAGAATGAAACCAACTTGGTTATGCTACATGCTTTTCTTAATGTGTTTTAAAATCTTAATTGCAAGAATTTTTTTCATTAGTTTTTATATCTATGTTCATCAGAGAAACTAGTCTGTCATTTACGTTTTGGTGCTGCTTGTTTTGGTGTAAGGGCAATTCTGAATTTGTAGGATCAATTTCATAGTGTCCCTTTCTTTTCTATTTTGTGGAGGAGTTTGAAAGCATTGGTGTTGAATATTTCTTAAAATTTTTGTAACATCTAGAATATAGAAATATCTCCAAAAATAAAAACACACACATAGATAGAATAGATAGATGATAGATAGATAGATGATAGATAGATAGATGATAGATAGATAGATAGATAGATAGATAGATAGATAGATAAGGCAGATAGATACCACCAATCAATAAATAGGCCAGTGAACTCAACAGACAGTTCTTAGATGTGTGTGTGTGTGTGTGTGTGTGTGTGTGTGTGTGTATTTTGAAGATCTTTAGTCATCAGAGAGATGCAAGCTAAAATTACTTTCAGATTCAATTTCAACCTAGTGATGATGACTGTCACCAGGAGAACAAGTGACAGACAGCAAAGGCTAGTAAAGATGTAAAGGAAAAGGCTCTGTTACTGTGGAAGTGAATGCAGCCACCATAGAAATCAGTATGGAATTTCCTCAAAAATAAAAACCAGAACAGAATCCAACCAAAATAAGTGTACCTTGTGAGCAATGATATCACTTGATGGCGTGTTTGAATAAGGCTGTGTGTCCAAACAGAGTGTCTATTTGCCACTACTCCAGTTACAATAGCAAAGATGCTGAGGCAGCCTAGATGTCCATAACTTGATGAGTGGGTAACCAAAGTGTGCATCTTTTAGGCCTCCATAAAAGAATATGAAATTTGCAAGAAGATAGATAGAACTAGAAAATATTATATTAATTTTATGTAACTTGGACTCATAAAAACAAATCCTACATGTTCTCTCTGTATGCAGATCCTAGCTTCCAAGTTTTATATTATATGTGAGTGTTTATGTGGAAGTGTGGGAATGATGTGGACAGAGGTCATGAAACCAGAAAGGGGCCAACAAGGGAAGGAAAAGATCTCATAAAGGAGGGGATGAGGAAGGTAATAGAAAGCAGAAAGGTGGTGCAGCAGGGGGTAGACATGAAGGGTGGAGGAGACAGGGTGAAGGAGTTGGGGAGTGGAAGGGTATAAGTGGGAGATAGGTCAAAGTGACAGAGGACAGGAGTAATTGGGAGAGGACATTGACCAAAACTAAGCGCTATAAAATGCCATAAGGACATGTGTTACTATACAAACTGGGACTTTCAGGGACAGAATGCCTGCATCTGTAGAGGGTTATCATACTGCATCACAACATGGCAGTATGCAAACCTCAAATATAGCCTGTGAAAGCCAGCTGAACTCACTCTTAGAACAGTTCACTGGAAGAGCAGGCTTGCTTCTGCAATAATAACATTGGTCCATTCCAGAGGGCTCTACCTCTGAAACCACATCACCTTTTAAAGGCCCATCTTTCACAACTGTTTTATTGGCAATTAAAGTGGGAACTTCTGGAGACCATGTTCCAATCTCTGGACTTGCTGTCTCTTTGCTTCCTTCCTGTGCAGGAGTGGGATTTACATCCCTCCCCCTGCCTGTCACTTAGGTGAAGGCAGGACTTGTTTGTCATCAATAAAGAACATGGCAAGAATACAAAGGACAGGGCTTCAGTGCTAGATCAAAAGGTCACCTTGCTCCTGTCCTTTGGGGGTAGGGCATTAGAAATCTGAGCTTGCATTATATGCAAGGAGGATAATCACCCTGATGCCACCATGCTGTACCGATCAAGCCATAGGGAGAGGTGACTAACCAATGCTCTAGTCTAAGCAGAGAAGTAACATGAACTTCTGTGACTAAATGCTTCCAGATGATTCTGATCTACAGCTGCAAATCTCCAACCTGTGCATGCTGAAGTAGAGTCCCAGACATCCTGAAGTAGAAGCAAACTAACCCTTTTATGGGCTTTTGAATCCCTGGCCCAGAGAATCCACTTTCCTGGTATAATTATTTTTGTGTCTCTGAGTTTTTCAAGTGTCACTAGAAGTTGGGACTGGGAAGTCTGATCAATGAACAGAATATATTTGTTGTGCCAGGTACAGAGCCGCTGCTCAGAGAGTGAAGGCTGCTCCAGCAATGCGGCCAAGGCCTAGCCTTGTGGCCTTAGATCTGCCTATGTTTTAACATTGAAAATTTCTCTTTAGAAATACCTGCCCAAGTCTCTCAAAGGGTTAATTGTGAGGTTCAAAGAGGATAATGGATGTAAAAGCACTTTGGAAACTCAAATGTTTTGTACAAATCAAAGGTTACCACATGTGTAGGATACCTGCTCGTGCAGAGCTCTGGTTGAGGAACATTCTACTAAAGATACTGTAGCAGTTAGTATCTGAACCCCTAAAACCAAAGGCTCTTGGCTTGAGACCCCCAACTTAATTCCTTGTTAGAAATCATTAAATCTAATCATTCATCAAACAAGACTTTGTTATACCTACTATAGATAAAACAGTTAAATGCAGTGTGTTTTCAGAATATAAAGAAAGGAACCAAAATAAAAGACAAACTTAGGGCAATCAGTCTAATCTCAAAACAAGCCCTGTTATATTTTGATGCCAAAAAATGACAGAATGATAGAGTACCGGCAGCATTCTGTAAGCTGTTTCCAGAAACCCTGGAAAGAGGTTGAAAAGAGAAAGAGAATTTACATGCGTTCAGAACCTACAGTGTACTGGGCACTATGCCAGACTCTTTGTATGCCAACTCACTCGACCCTCACAGTAACTCTTCAGGATGACTTTATATCGTCTACTTTCCCCAGGGAGCAAACAGACGTTTGTGTAGATTGTCTTGGCCAAGTTCACATCTGTACCAAGTAAGTGCCAAAGGCCAGGGTTAGTGATACTGCACCATGTTTTGAGCCCTGGGTATATTTTCTCTCTTGGATCCTTTCCCTATTCATTTTACTATAATCAAACCAACAAACAGAAAAATAAACAAACAAACAAAACCAGCATTCTCTGCTCAAGTATTTACCCATTGGTTCATAGTATCCTCATTCTATCAATCTCTTCTAAAAATCTCATAGTAGAATGACTAACAGTAATATCTCATTTGCACAGGACTTCATTGTTTACAAAGCGTGCTCACAATGTTTCACTTCTTGATTTGTAACAGTCCTGTCAGGAAGGCACGTGTGACAGCGAGCATCATACAGATGTTCTGTGAAGGAAGGATTTGTGCCTTGTTTACTGCCACATGAAGGCTTTCCATCAGGCTCAGGGTGTCCACAACATGACCTTTTCACATCATTGGCTACATCATGACAAAACACGAGCTTTGGTGAGAAAGAGTGGCTATATATCTATTTTTAGAGTTGCTACAGGATAGCTTCAGTTTCTTTGTGGTTCCCTTCCCATTGCTACTGGTTGGAGAGTTAATATTTTTTCCCTTGTAATGTGTCTAGCAGAAGAAAGATTTTTCACTCACTAACTGACCAAGGATGACTTTGTACTTCTGATTCTCCTGCCCCTACCTTCCTCCCCTACCTACCTTCTGGAATCATAAGCACCAGATATGGTCACGGGACACTACAGCTCGTTTATGTGGTGCAGGTTGCTGGACCTAGGGCTGCAAGAATATTAGAAAAGCACCATAGCAACTGAGCTACATCCTCAGCCAGAGAAGTTCTAGACGATGCCCTTTCCTTGTTGCCTGATTCTCCTTGGGCATAGATATTATCTTCAATCTGCTGGCTGTACAAATCCTTTAAGGCAGAAATCGTTTTACCACATTGAATTCCATTTTGAAAAGATAATACAGGATAACACAAATGGCAGATCCACTTGTTCAGGCTCCTCTTCACAATACACCGAGAGCCAAGGAAAGAATAAATGTGGGGGGTGGGGAGAGCTAGATGTGGTGTTGCACATTTACAATCTCAGCACTCAGGAGGCAGAGGCAGGATGGTTGTCTCAAGCTCAAGGCCATCCAGATCCACGATGTAAGTTCCAGGACAGCCAGGATGGCCAGGAGACCTTGTCTCCAACAAACAAGCCAAAACAGCAACAAAAGAGTACATGTGGATTGTCACAGCCTTCGATTCCCATTCTCCCAGTTGGCTAAGATATTATGAAATATGCATGCCATGACAGAGTTTTCTTTATTTGTAAGATGTAAAGCGTAAATCAAACTTCTTGGTAGACATGAATGTATATCTGGGGCAGGGAGGGGGAGGCAAGCACGCACACAGAGTACATGTAAATACATGGGAACTCAATTCAAGTCCTGTGACTTGCACAAGTGTTGGATTTTCTGGTTTGATTTTGGATTGGGGTTGTTGAAAATTAAGTGAAGAGGGTCATGTTCTCCCCTTCGTTTGGCTTTGCAACTTCCTGTGCATCTTCAGTCATTTAAAAAACCACGTGACCAGGCAATGTAACACTCTTGCCCTCTGAGAGTCACTTGCTGCTCCTCTAAGAGATCATGGCCATAGTCACTGTGAGACCTGGGAGACATAGTTTCCTCCATCAGGATCAGTTTCTCACATGTAAAATGGACAACTATTCAGTTCTAAAGTCCTGGAGTTGTTTACCCACACTGTTGAGTAGGAAAGAATAACTGTCTCTTGGTCTGTGGTTGGCTGTGTTCATTTCTTCAATACGTGGTTCTCGTTCTCTTTCCTGGAGAGTAGACTTGGCGTCCTTCCCCTTCCCCCATAGGATCCTTCAAAGGGTTTCCTACTAAGAAAAACAGAATATATGAAAACAAGACATTTTAAGATATATTTTGTTTCGCAGCATGTGTTAATGTACCTGTGTGTGTGCAGGCGTTCCCCCCACCACCACCACCAAGAGATCAGGACAGGGGTGTTGGATCCCTTGGAGCTTGAGTCACAGGCATTTGTGAGCCACCTATGTGGGCGGTGGGATCTGAACCCCAGTCAGCAATGCATGCTCTGAACCAGCCTGGAGATGAGCAAGTCACGTCCAGCCCTGACAGCGCTTTTGTCAAGCACTTTGCATACAGCATCACAGACAGTGAGTGGAAGGAAAGAGGTGACATTACCTGCCAACTGATAACCTCAGCTGGGCCATGGAAACCCAGAATACGTGCTGACTATTCTATGCTCCCATGACCTCCGAAGGCTGTCCAGACGCTAGCTATACAGGCAATGGACCTTCAGCTGCCGACATCACAAGAATTTGTAAATGTATTTGTATGAGGCTCAGAGACTGTTTAAAGTTGTATCTCTGACATGGAAGAGAGAAGTTGTCCTCAGATGCATAGCAATTAAAAGCATAGAGAGCTGGGGGAGGGAATGGTTATACCTTTCCATATTTGTGTACACAGCTCCTGAACCCTGGAAACTGTTCAGTTGGGAATAAATATTTATCCAGGATACGAGAACAAGAATGATTCTTACAATGGCTGCTAAGGTATCAAGGGCAGTTCAGTATGTCAACTATGTACTTTCCTGTCACTTGTTTCTCTGTATTTATCCACAGAAATAAGCACATGGTGATAAAGAGATGAATATAAGTGTTCCCTTAAGGCAGCATGCTTGCATGGGAGATTTTGGAAATAGTTAAGATGTCTATCCATAGGATATTAGTTAAAGCAGTGGTTTTCAATTTTAGAGGAAGTGATATAAAGATGATATCTTTTCTTCCATGCAGTAAACATTACAAAGCTCTATTAAGCAGCAATGCTACTGCCCTAGGAGTAACAGAAGAGTGAAGGTAGATCTGCTACACCAGAACCTCTGGAAACTTCTGTGAGCATGCTGGCAGGAAAAAAGGTCTTCAGTAGGCCAAACTTTGACATCTATAAGAAGGTTTATAGATTAACATTAATATTTTATCAACCTTAATTTCCTGGTTCCTAGTTTTACTAAATACTGAGAGAGTACTCACAATCTATATTCACAACTCTTTTCTAAGCCTGAAAATATTTTGCAACACAGAGTTTAAATTGTATCTGTCCCCTACTCAAGAAGAGGAGAAGCATGCCTGTCACTAGAAACCTAGCCACATACCCAAGGCTATAGCAAAGTTGTGGGCCTTGAGGAAGAATCTACAATCACTATTTTATCACACCAGCATAATTCCTAACTCCCTTCTGTGTATTTGTCCTTATATCCACAGGTAAATATAGGTCTCACCCCTCAACAAGGAAACTTCTTTTGGCTACAGATGGAGACCAATATAGAAAACCATAAACAATTAAGACATAGAGTTGTGGACCTGAGTCCCAAAAGCTACATCTACAAACCAACGCCCAGAAACAC